CCCCCCCCCCCCCCCACCTCCCTTCCTTTCCATCTGTGGCGCTCATTTTGCAGCTAAATCAGAATTACCATTATTTATTCATTCATCGGCGGGGGCGGGGGGGGTTCTCTCAATCAACCCCCGACAACAAGAAAAACACATTCCGGACTTCCAGAGAGGCCCATCGGAGATCCCGGAGGATTCTGGATCAGAGGTGGGACGGCCGTACGCGATTCGGGCCCGGGGGGAACCTTCCGGTAACCTGACCTCGAGTCTGCATAAGCGGGCTCCCCGACTTGAAAATGAAATCCCAGAGAACCCCCCCTCCCCACCCCTCTATTTACTCATCCCAGCTTTAACCTGCACGCCTTCCATTCCCGGTGTGATTGGACAATTTCTTTCCTAATTACCGCAGGCTAACCCGGCTTAGCGCTCCGTCGACACGCCCCAGGCAGAGCCAAGTGTGTATAATTGAAACATAATTTGTTTTTCTCCGCTTGGACCAGGGGCGCGATGTGAAGCGCGCAGGTGCCGGATTCTGTCACCTAGGGGGGACAAGGGTGACCTCGGCAGGCGCTGCAACACGGCAGAGCGGGAGGGCTGCAACCATGCCAAATCGTCCCCCCTCCCTCAATCCGCTCCCCCCTCCTCTCCTTCCTCCTCTCCCTCAGTGTTAGGATCCCTCATTCTCTCTATCCGTCTCTCGTTCCCTCCATCCGCCAAGCGGAGGTGGGGGGGGGGGGGGTGGTGGAGGAGGCTGCAGAGAGCTGATAACCAAAATCCAAACACAGAGAATAAAAGGATCAGCACGCTGGAGGTGAACGAGGGAGCGCAGGGAGGAGAGGAAACCAGAGAGGATGAAAGCGGGGGGGGGGAAAAAAAAGGAGAGCGCACAGATGGGGGTTTTCAGCTCAGCATCGGAGGAAGTAAGAAAGCGAAGGAGAAGAGGGAGAAATAGCAGGCGGGGAAAGAGGATGGATAAAGGAAAAGAGGAAAAACATCAGGGGGAGTTTTTGTCATCTGTGTTGAACACACGACGGAAAGAGGACAAGAGAAAACCATGAAAAGGTAAAGTAGAAATTCAGTGTGGGCTAAAAACATCTAGACAAGTTTAGGAAGAACCGCAGACAGGGACCAGTGAAAGACGAGGGGTAAAGACGGAAAGAAACTGACAGAGAAAGGAAGAGCAGGCTTTGTGAAAATGGCTCGACAGTCAGAATCGTGGTGTGTCCACAAAATCCCATAATCCTTTGCACCTGGCCATGATGTTGCCTAAAACAGTGATCCATGTTCCAAACTATAACACTAACGGAACATGTACGGCGCGTGCGATACGGAGACGGGCTCGGGACAGAGACAGGGGATTTGGGGGGGTGGGGCAGGGACAGCACGGAAACGGGTGAAGAGAAATAAGAGAAGACAAAGCGAGTGAATACGGCAGACATGAAAGGAAGGAAGAGAGGAACAAAGATGAGGAATCCTCTGGAGGGAGGGAGAGAGGGAGAGGAAAGGAGAGGAGGGGAGAGAAGAAAGACACTGGCAGGTGAACGGTCCGGGTGAGAGAGCGGAAAGTCTGACCTCTTTCTGCCAAAGATGTCATAGGAGAACAGTTTTTGTGCTTCAGTGAGGCAAACCCGAAATGTAGAGGAGAGAGAGAGAAAGAGACAGGGCCTGATGGGGGGAAGAGAGGGAGACAGAGAGGGAGAGACATGGGGCTTGATCGTGAGGGACAGGGGGACGGGGACAGACTGGGACAGACCCAGCTCGCCGCTCCTGTGGTTTGAGCATCACACAGCTGACTCCTGTGTGGCTGAGCCACTCCCACAGCCATTAGCCGTTAGCTTTTCTCACCAGAACATGCCAAGTGCAGTCTGAAGCTGGGGCCAGCAGGG